CAAGACGTTTATTTAATGAATATTGCATGATACGTGTCCGCACTAGTAGAGAACGCTGGACCGACCAGATTCATTCAGAAGCAGAAAATGTCTGAATGATAGATAGCACTCGTACTATACTAACAGTCGGGTGCGAGTTTCTGCACAGATTTCATGCACGATTTTAAATGCCACATTGACAGTGTACGTGTCCGCACTAGAAGGAAAGTAGAAAGGGACAGCGGCTGACGTAAAAAGGAACCTAAGATGCTAAACATAAATCAGCAAAGAAACAAAAAGCTGTGGAAACCAGATTCATTCAGTGAGAAAATGTCTGAGTCTAGATGCACTCGTACTATACTAACAGTCGGGTGGAGTTTCCTGCAGATTTCATGCACGCTTAATGCCCATGGCAGTGTACGTGTCCGCACTAGAAGGAAAGCTGGACAACCAGATTCATTTCAGGAAGCAGAAAATGTCTGAATATAGTGCACTCGTACTATACTAACAGTCGGGTGGAGTTTCCTGCAGATTTCATGCACGCTTAAATGCCACATTGCAGTGTACGTGTCCGCACTAGAAAGAAAGCTGGACAACCAGATTCATTTCAGGAAGCAGAAAATGTCTGAATATAGTGCACTCGTACTATACTAACAGTCGGGTGGAGTTTCCTGCAGATTTCATGCACGCTTAAATGCCACATTGCAGTGTACGTGTCCGCACTAGAAAGAAAGCTGGACAACCAGATTCATTTCAGGAAGCAGAAAATGTCTGAATATAGTGCACTCGTACTATACTAACAGTCGGGTGGAGTTTCCTGCAGATTTCATGCACGCTTAAATGCCACATTGCAGTGTACGTGTCCGCACTAGAAGAAAGCTGGACAACCAGATTCATTTCAGGAAGCAGAAAATGTCTGAATATAGTGCACTCGTACTATACTAACAGTCGGGTGGAGTTTCCTGCAGATTTCATGCACGCTTAAATGCCACATTGCAGTGTACGTGTCCGCACTAGAAGAAAGCTGGACAACCAGATTCATTTCAGGAAGCAGAAAATGTCTGAATATAGTGCACTCGTACTATACTAACAGTCGGGTGGAGTTTCCTGCAGATTTCATGCACGCTTAAATGCCACATTGCAGTGTACGTGTCCGCACTAGAAAGAAAGCTGGACAACCAGATTCATTTCAGGAAGCAGAAAATGTCTGAATATAGTGCACTCGTACTATACTAACAGTCGGGTGGAGTTTCCTGCAGATTTCATGCACGCTTAAATGCCACATTGCAGTGTACGTGTCCGCACTAGAAAGAAAGCTGGACAACCAGATTCATTTCAGGAAGCAGAAAATGTCTGAATATAGTGCACTCGTACTATACTAACAGTCGGGTGGAGTTTCCTGCAGATTTCATGCACGCTTAAATGCCACATTGCAGTGTACGTGTCCGCACTAGAAGAAAGCTGGACAACCAGATTCATTTCAGGAAGCAGAAAATGTCTGAATATAGTGCACTCGTACTATACTAACAGTCGGGTGGAGTTTCCTGCAGATTTCATGCACGCTTAAATGCCACATTGCAGTGTACGTGTCCGCACTAGAAGGAAAGCTGGACAACCAGATTCATTTCAGGAAGCAGAAAATGTCTGAATATAGTGCACTCGTACTATACTAACAGTCGGGTGGAGTTTCCTGCAGATTTCATGCACGCTTAAATGCCACATTGCAGTGTACGTGTCCGCACTAGAAGGAAAGCTGGACAACCAGATTCATTTCAGGAAGCAGAAAATGTCTGAATATAGTGCACTCGTACTATACTAACAGTCGGGTGGAGTTTCCTGCAGATTTCATGCACGTTTAAATGCCATATTGCAGTGTACGTGTCCGCACTAGAAGAAACCAGATTCATTTCAGAAAGCAGAAAATGTCTGATTACATGTTACAGGTTCTCCACATAGATGACTGATACAAACAATAACACTTGTTATGTGCTTCAAATGACAATAATACAGAAATGACAATAATACAGAAAATGATTGAAATTACAATAATACAGAAATGAATTACGTTTCAAGTTAAAAGGGAACTATATTGTGAACAGGGCACATTAAATATACAGTCTGATCTTCATATTGAAAGTCAAATATTCAGCTATATTCAGTGTGCTTACAGGGCTTAAACCAATCAATATTCAGCATTAGGCCATAGGTATATGATTCCGATAAAAAAGGGATTCCATTATAAACCTTGAAATCTTTCCAAATTTGCCCATCAAACACATCTTTGTACACACCATCAGGATTAACTCTATTCTTCCATTCACTGCAGAGAGTATCAAAGTCAGGCCTATTAACGAACTTTTTCAAATAGAACTTTAGAGGCATATAGCAAAAAACACGATTAGGATAGAAAACTTTCTTGTTACTGCTAAGCTCCATGCATCGCAGCAAAACACCATTGCATGGGGATTGACGTCCAGAAAAGCGATATTTACAGTTCAGAGCCACTGTTTGTGTACCGTTCCTCTCAAGGCAGTCATCATAATTGTAGACCATAGAGCAGATTGGGCATACTACATACCGAACAAAAGCCTCTTCTTGCCTAGCACCCAGAAGCTTATGGAATTTATACAAACTGGGAGGAAACTGCTGAGAAAATGATGTCAGTTGTGGAGATATACCACTGAGGATATTGAAAAAGATGGCGAAAAATCGAAGCAAAAGGACTAATGCTGCATCAGGTAAGAAGTGCCTCTTTTGGAGTAGAGCTATAAAATGTACCAACCAAAGCAAAAGTGGGTCTGTACTCGATTGATCTTCAAAGTTATACATTAGTAGATCTTCTTCGACCCCCTCCTCCTCACAAACTTCAACATCTATGGGAGATAAAGTACATGTATATGTTGTACGAAGGTGGCGTGTGATCTACTGGTTATACACGAGTAGCCAGTTATGATAGGGCACGACGGCACGAGTGTGTAACCAGTACAATCAAAGCTATCGTACGTGTTTGTATGATGACATCCGGCGGTAAGGCTCTGACCAATGAGATTGTGCAAAGGCTTTCAAAACACCCTTGTTTTAACGCACACCACCTTGTACATAAATGCGGAGAGTGCCGTTCTGGAGAGGAGGGAAGGCTGCGGTAAGTGCTTCAGTTTAGTGAATGCAGAGAGAGCCGATCGGGAGAGGGACGGCTGCGATAAGCTCTTTAGCTGCGCAGTTTTAACTGATAGGAACGGTCGTTTGTACTAGCTGGAATTCCTTTGATCTCACTACTGGTCATCATACAAACATATGTAGCTCTATAATAATTATCTACAAGTATATTTACCAAAAAGATCTTGAGACCCTGTTTCTGTGCTTCTGTACTCTACACACAACAGAAATAATGGGTACAGACACTCAATCAACAATAATTTTAATGCCTCACCTTCCTGCTCTACTTCTGTCAAGGGTTCATCAGAAAATTCGTCGCATTCAAAATCAAGAATAGGGGGAGGTGATGCAGACGGCTTGTCAGTTTGCTGAGTGAAGTCATCCAACTCCTCACATGAAAAGTCACCTGGGTGAAAGAAAATGAGATAGCTCTTCCTGCAGAGCAAGCTATACAGACGCTAACTCAAGTCTTGCTGGTCGGATGCTTTTCTCTTTACCCACTGATCAGTATCAGGATCAAAGTACATACGCTTGTGCATTCGATAGGTCTTCTTCGCTACCTCCCTACCACAGTGGGGACAAAACACTTCGTCTGCACGTTCTCTAGGTACCGACGCCATTTTTACAAAGTCACGTGACGAACTTTCCATGTACAGTACGTGGCGGCATGCATGCCACGCGTGTGTGAAGGTAAAGCAGCTGACCGGTGGAGAGAGACAGTTAGTTGGTTTTGTTCCCTGTTCTGGCCTTAGTATGGAGGACTACGCCAGCGATATTGTTTTCAGTGATCAAGAAGAAATAGTCGATCGCGAAGAAGGTTCCGATGCTGTGATCCGTGAGACGATCGGAGAAAAAGCGGTACCATCCCCCGAGGCTGACGGCGATACTAATGACGTTGAGTCCGAGGAGGGCACTGCCATCACCCCTGTTAGGCCTCTTGGGGATGCGACCAGGAAAAGGAAGCGTAAAGTTCATCGGCTCGTGGATAGCAGCAGTGATGAAGATTCAGAAGATAGCAACGCTTTAACAGGGAAGGAAGGGCTGCAAGAAATCAAGGATCTTCTAAAGCAACTTTTCAAGAAAGTTGAGAAAAATTCACGTAAGCTGACGGAACTCCAAAATGCAAGGTTCGTCGTAACTTTTTTGGATGTAGGATATTCCTTTTGTAATTACTTTAGCAGTGATGTTCCTAGTAGTTCTGCCGCAGAATATACACCTAAGCGTCGCAAAACTGAGATATCTCCAAAAGTTCGAGTGAGTTGATGTGCCTGTTTTGGTGTGTATGTTGGGTACTATTAACCCTCTGCGCGCATACTCAGCGAGGGTTACAGTAGTTGGTTTGTCTGTCTGTGTGTCTATGCTTATTCCGGCACTACAGCCTACGAAGCGGCCTACTAGGGATACCAGCGACTTCAGAACTACGTGAGCCTGAAAAGTAATAAGGCGATTTTTCCTGAAACACTGTATCAGGATTGGACAGGAAGTCCTTATCGCAACATCTAGCGCTAGGTGTAGTGCAAATTGTCTGGCTTCCAAAGTTTACACAACAATTCCATTAGTATGTTAAGCACCAAAAAGTGATTGGCAGTTAACATCAGGCCTATATACAGGATATCCTCCTCGGGCTGTTGACTATTATATCGAACATGTACAGCTTCATGCACATTTAGTTGTAGTGCTTTGCAATTGTTTTGTGTTCTTTTAGAAGGAAGTCAGGAGAGTATATAAGAATCTTGTTGAAGATGATGAGAATTTTGATGGGTGGAATCTTGGACATGGGTTAGCTTTAACATAATGATCTGTATACATGTAATCGTGTTTATAGACCAAAATTTACCCACTGAGTTCCCACAATAATTTTGTTTGCTAAAAATTGGTACATTAGCAGTACCACTAATAGGCACCTCAGGTATATTCCTGGTAAACTTTCTAAAGCCACGGGTTAACTAACAAATATCGGAGGCTGTACGCTGCCTTCTAGAAGCCCGGGCTCGGCTGTTTCAGATGCTAGATGTTGGCTTCTGCAGACTCTGTCTCTCGAGACTTGCCGCTACCCCGCTTTCGGCTTCACGACGATTCCTAGCTCTTTGGCAGTTAGCAGCAGCGCGAGTATTTCCCAGTGTCTGACCGTCTTCTGTAGAGTTTGACTACTTTCTGCGGCAGTGAGATCACATTATTGAGATCTGGGAGTACAGCACCTGAAAAATTTTTCTATCCTCTGGTTCGTGTTTAGAACTACGTAGAGCTGTAATGACAGCACCTGACTGCTAAACAAAAAAAATGAGCTCCTTCGTAAGACTGGGTTGCTCGCTCCCGCTCACCAATAATTTTCATAGTTTCCTCAACTTCGTGTGAAATGGTGTATTTATTAATTATCTTTCCCAAGAGTGTCGATCAAATCTCCACAAAATGAACAAACAATAACAAGAATTGTGAAGGAAGTTAAAGGATTGAATCCAACCTTTGATGCTGCTGATATACGTGGTAAGTGTAAGGGCTACTGGCTTTACCATTTATTGCAAGTTCATAAGGTACATACTTGCTATACTGCAGAGGCTGCATATCGCTTTTTTAAAACAAAGTCTGAAGAGGATTCTCTTAAAAGAAATGGAATGGCAGAAAGAAAAAAAGTTACTAGAAGACGACAGGAACGTGTTACCCGGGTTAGTTTTGCTTTTATGTTTTGAGTGTTGTGTATATTTGTTCAACCCTCAGTGTGCATCCACGGTCTGCTTGTGTGTCTGTCTGTTACCGCCTAACTGCTGCATTCATGGGATAAACATGCTTAAGAAAAGTTACTGTGCTTATGAGCTTTGGGCAACTTATTCAGCATAATACACCAGCATCACTAGCGTTCTTTAAAGCACGATGCTGCTTGAGAGACAGTCAGCTGGTTTAGATTCGCGCACAAAAAATTGTAACATGTGTGCGTATTTACATTTGTGAGCATGTGCACTGCACTGAAGGTGGTGTTTTTTCGTATTACAGAAAAAGAGGGAGAGAGAAGGAGCTGTCCTAAAGAATTCTAAATTTACTGAAGAACAACGCAAAAAGTGGCTTGGTGTAATGAAGCGAGATTATATGTCATCAGAGGAGAGTGGGGATGATGACTTTATTGTTCTTCACCGACTTCCATGGCGCAGTGATTATGTTACTAAGATGTTTTCAAAGATAGATGCATATGTTATTAGTAAGAAGAGCTCTCAGGCGAAACGGCAAATGAAGCTAAGGAGACTCGGTGTTCCCTCCACTCGTCCTAAGCCTCAGAATGCCCCAGATTGGACAGTTAAATCTGACTAAACTTTACCAATGGAACGTGTGTATTGCACAGGCTGTAATGGTAGACAGTTCTGCATCTTTATTTCAGTGTGTTGTATATGCAAAACATGTGACTTTTTTGCTGTAAATGTTTCATGCTGACACGTACCCTGCGTGTGGACTTTCGACTGTATGAAATGTGAACACTTCGTGTGTCCTGGGTTACCGACATGTACCCTGCATGTGGACTTTCGGCTGCATGAAATGTGAACACTTCGTGTGTCCTGGGTTACCGACACGTACCCTGCATGTGGACTTTCGGCTGCATGAAATGTGAACACTTCGTGTGTCCTGGGTTACCGACACGCACCCTGCATGTGGACTTTCGGCTGCATGAAATGTGAACACTTCGTGTGTCCTGGGTTACCGACACGCACCCTGCATGTGGACTTTCGGCTGCATGAAATGTGAACACTTCGTGTGTCCTGGGTTACCGACACGCACCCTGCATGTGGACTTTCGGCTGCATGAAATGTGAACACTTCGTGTGTCCTGGGTTACCGACACGCACCCTGCATGTGGACTTTCGGCTGCATGAAATGTGAACACTTCGTGTGTCCTGGGTTACCGACACGCACCCTGCATGTGGACTTTCGGCTGCATGAAATGTGAACACTTCGTGTGTCCTGGGTTACCGACACGCACCCTGCATGTGGACTTTCGGCTGCATGAAATGTGAACACTTCGTGTGTCCTGGGTTACCGACACGCACCCTGCATGTGGACTTTCGGCTGCATGAAATGTGAACACTTCGTGTGTCCTGGGTTACCGACACGCACCCTGCATGTGGACTTTCGGCTGCATGAAATGTGAACACTTCGTGTGTCCTGGGTTACCGACACGCACCCTGCATGTGGACTTTCGGCTGCATGAAATGTGAACACTTCGTGTGTCCTGGGTTACCGACACGCACCCTGCATGTGGACTTTCGGCTGCATGAAATGTGAACACTTCGTGTGTCCTGGGTTACCGACACGTACCCTGCATGTGGACTTTCGGCTGCATGAAATGTGAACACTTCGTGTGTCCTGGGTTACCGACACGCACCCTGCATGTGGACTTTCGGCTGCATGAAATGTGAACACTTCGTGTGTCCTGGGTTACCGACATGTACCCTGCATGTGGACTTTCGACTGCATGAAATGTGAACACTTCGTGTGTCCTGGGTTACCGACACGCACCCTGCATGTGGACTTTCGGCTGCATGAAATGTGAACACTTCGTGTGTCCTGGGTTACCGACACGCACCCTGCATGTGGACTTTCGGCTGCATGAAATGTGAACACTTCGTGTGTCCTGGGTTACCGACACGTACCCTGCATGTGGACTTTCGGCTGCATGAAATGTGAACACTTCGTGTGTCCTGGGTTACCGACACGCACCCTGCATGTGGACTTTCGGCTGTAGGAAATATGCTGGATTTGTCATGTTTCTGGTGATGAAATTCTGCCCTGTACTATACCACCCTGTAGCAGGAAATTTAATGGAAATATACGAATTTCATGTGGTACATTTTTCCATGGTGACCTCATGTCCCCAGTAAGTTTTTGGTACCAATCCCGCATCTGGAAATGCAACTTTTCTTGCAGTGAGAGCCTCGTCCATCTCGTCCCCATACTGGTCGATGAGGGCTTCCCTCGAGGGAGGGAGACCAACCGGGGGACGCTCTCCCGGGGTCGCGTAGGTCGCCATTTTCCAGCAGCAGCACGGCGAATGCTCGCGCACAATAAGAAAAACGTTTGTGAATACGGTAATAAAGTGCGCATGCGTAAACAACTTTGGTATTGTCACACTAGCAAAAGTCTCTGTCCAGTTGTTCTGCTAAGGAGTTTTCATCAACAGATGCCGATTTCAAGGCAGTGATCAATGTCTTCCAGGTATAGGGCCGACTAGCTGATTGCTTCCATTGCTCGAGAACAGCCATGAATCGATCAAAGCACTCGTCCTCATCCTTCTCTATTGCCTTCCTCTCTCCTCTGCTGAGCTCTAGCTGGATAGCCACCGGCTTCCATTTGTGGGGAATGATGGCTGCAACACGATTTGCCAGATCACTGAGTTTTGGAGCTTTGGACTTGGAAGGAGATGTGACTGAGGAAAAAGGAAAAACAAACAATGTCAAGTCACTATAAACAAACGAGTGTTCAATGCTTACCGGCTCCAGTAAACCACAAGGTTTGTTTAGGAGAAACACTGTCAAACACATTAGAATTTTCGGAGCATATCCATTTCTTGCCATTCTCGGATATACGTGCAGTGTGTAGTTCAGTGCTACAAGATTCATTCTGGACGGGGCACAGGAAGGCGGGCACTGGGCGAGAGTTTGTGTGGTGAGTGTTCTCCAGACCTGCCTCGACTGCAGCAAACAGCTCCGACCTCACATCCTGGCAGTGCTCCACCAACTCCTCGCGATCCATCTTCCTGGTGTCCACATTCACACAGGCAACGAAGAAGGAAAAGTTGTCGATGAACGTCACGGTGCCCGGTCTGTCGTCCTTTGAGAATGTGATGGAGTTGCGAGAGATCTGGCAGAGTTGCCTGTCGGGTGTGTCTTTGTTGTGAGGAGTGGTGGGTGGCTTGTGGACAACCTCCCAGTGGGCATGGGACTGAAGGTGGCACACACTGCAGCAGTAGACCCCGGGAGGAGCCCAGCCAGTGGGGAACTCCACCACCAGAGCTGCTATCTCTGTGGCTGTGCAGCTGGCCAGGAATTGATTGACTCGAGATTCTGGGGTCATGCTCAGGACTGCAGGGAAGAAGTACTCGGTTGCTGACAAGGGACAAATGACAAGGAGTTTTTCAAGCAACAGAAGAAAGTCACTTGGAGTAAAGATTCCTTTGACATAGTGGGACTTAAATTCCTCCAGAAACTTGAGATTGAGAATTCCACAGTCGCGGAATTTCTTCCATTCACCTCCAATTGTTTTCCCTGCAGCTTTTGTCGGATCAGCTTCTGCAGCTTTCAGATGGTACTGCTTCTCCACAAGCTTTGACAGCTTGTCTAGAGGAACTTGAGGATTGGTGAAGACGACTCCGGGTAGAATGTTCTTTTTGAACAGGAAAATGTTGAGCTTGTCGAAGAAGGCCAGAGCAGCATCAAGCTGTCCTTCAGAGAACCCCAGTGACTTGGAGACATGGAGGCACTCGTCTTTGCTCAGGACATCTCTGCCGAGCTTGTGTGTTAGCGCTTCCAGGATCAGCTGGAGGATGAACCACCAGATTGGAATCTTGTGTTGTGTGGCACCTTTCTCGATGCTGGCTCTGATCTTGCTGGCCTCTTTCTTGTCGTCTTCTTCTGGGGTTTTGGTATTGAGCGGAAAAACAATCTGCTTCATGTCTTCATTTCGATAAACTATATCTTCTTCGAAGTGAGGTGATGAAATTGCAGCAAATTTCTCGTTCTTTTGGTGAATTGTTTCTTCACACTCCTTGATTAGGTCTCGGTGGGTGCCAACAGCAATGATCTTGGAGCGTTTTTCTCCTTCATGCTGGCCTCGAAGCATTGTCTTGAAGGCCTGTGCAGTGGTGAGTGTGGCTCTCTGGCTGGGACCAACCTGTTTCCCTCTCTGGTAGAGGTCATTCAGAGGGTGTTCGTCAAGCTTCTCGCAGAGCCTGTGGACAAAGAGGGTGGCTGTGGTGTCACGTGTGAATATCGGGATGAGGTCCCAGAATGGTTGCTGGCCACCAGTGTCAGTTAGGTAGATCAACTCCATGTCCAGGAGACGACGTGATGACTTCCCACTACCCACCAGCCGAGTCAGCTTCCTGATCACTCCATCAATGACTGCCTTCGCCTCCTTTTCACCAGTCGAAGCTACACCCCCAACACTTGGTTTCTTCTCCTCATTCTCCTTCTCGCCGTTACCCTTCCCGTCCTCAACCTTCACCTCATTTCCCCCACTCACCTCCCCTTCCTCCATCTCCCCATCTCCCTCTCCCTCCTCCTCTCCCTCTCCCTCTCCCTCCCCAACTACCAAGTCCGATAGAATATTCTCCAACTCCTCCATTCCCTTTCCCTTGGCTCTGAGGTCTTCATACAGAATGGGAACTGCTTCTGCGATCATCTCTTGAAACTCTTTTGTGGAGATCTCGTTCCACTCTCCTCCTTCCTTGCCGACTCGTATCACTCGAATTGCTCGCTCGGCACAGCCGGTGCTGTGTCTTTCTTTTGGAGGAGACTTACTGAGGAGGAGGTACATGAGGCAGGTTTTGCCGACACCTGCAGGTCCCTCCACAATCACTTTCACTAGTGTCACGTTCACATAGCCCTGCTTCATTGCTTCTCTCAGGAATGCTCTCGACTCTTCATCTACAGAATGTAAAGTAAAATGTTTAAAGGGAATGTGGTATATAGTACATAAGGGCTAAATTTAGAAATGTTACTAAAGATAGAACTAAACAATGGGGCCCAGTGCAA